ATCTGGAAGAGCATCCGCTGCGTAAAACTTGCTGGAATTAGTGGTTCATTGTGCTATGGCAACCTCAGAATTAGAGACTAAGCAGAGTAAGTACGTACTCTGTTATTCTAAAATGCAATACAGTAATGACACAAGCATAAATACATCTATTATGGTTGGGCGATGTCGACCAATTTGGCATCGTGCGATATCTAATGCGAAACATCACAATGGACGATGGCATCATCGTTGTAGGTGGCGGTGAAATAATTGTTCATGAATAATGAATTAATTCATACCGAATTAACTATTTGTAGCCTACCGTTTCAACTATCTGACCTGCATGGTCTTTGTTTTACCTATAACCAACTCATAAATAAATAAAGATAATTTACACACAAATTACCACCTGTCAATCACTTCTCAGGATCGTGATGTTTATCAGCCATCGGCTATGGACGATGGCATCATCTATAGACCCAACCCTAATATCTATGTACCCAAATGTACACCGTTCCCACTGAAGCTGTGGTTAGCTACCATATTTTCACATCCAGCATAAAAACAAACTGTAAATAGTGCAAATATACAGAAATAATCTGTAACGTACCAACTCAATTGCCAACAGTTCTCCCATAACTCACACTGTTCTTATTTGACGTTTTAGTGGTGTCCAAATAATTCTATTATTCAAAGCTAAAACATTGCTACAAATATAATACATTGCAAAAGAGTCTATCTGGTCTAGTATGAATTATAAATTTCACTGTTTAAGTTATATACATTGTTGGTCTATACAACATCTTTAATGTTAGTGATTGTAGCAGCACGTAAAAAACCTAACAATCTATTAACCCTAATGAATGGATGAATGAATGATTCATTTTTTAGCCAAATATTTATTTTTGCTTTGTCTATCATCTTTCTAAATGTTTTCACTGAGTTTGTCATATGCATTCTAGGACTGCCACATATTCCCTGGAAATATTCAAAGGAATCACCCTCTCTGAAGCATTCTCAGGATGCTTGGCACCTTTCAGAACAGACTTTGCAACTGGAGCATCTCTATGATGCCATAAAATGTCACCAGCTTGTGAGGCACTTTCAGGTATGCGTGTGCCTGTGTGTGTGAGCGCAGACAGCCTGTTCTCCAACTAGAGAGCCACAAAAAAAAAAAAAAAAAAAAACAGGGCACCTCATCCTACCCCCACATCCACGTCTGCCGCTTTCCTTTTAACCAGAACTAGAGACTCACTCCTCCCATCCACTCTTGTGTCTCTGTCTCTGCTGAAAAAAAGGATGAGTCCTTTAATATCCAAGTCCACATGGAGCAGCTAATTAATCACACACACACACACCACACCTGCTGTGAGAGAAACAGATTGGCTGTGTTCAGAAAGGAACACTAGAGGTGCTGCTTACTGCAACTATTTTCAGTTTCTAGTAGGCAACCTAAAATATTTAACTGCAGTACAGATTAATTTGTAATGCACTAAAGACCACCCCATTTCATCTCATTGAAGGAGATATAAAAAATAAAATTAACCATGGAAATAAATTAAATGATCATAAGAATACATAAACATTAATACATTTTATAAGTATTCATTTTATGACTGTTCTGTTAAATTATTAAAGGAATACCAATACAATAAGAACTACGTTTAATGATCTGCACTAAACTCAGTTGATTAAATGCATTTTATGAATTAAATACATTTTAGTTATTATACATGTTTATATATATACATTTAGTGTATATATATATATATATATATATATATATATATATATATATATATATATATATATATATATATATGTGTGTGTGTGTGTGTGTTTTTTTAAATAATCAATCATGTGGTATTTATTCTTTAGCTCGATCTTAATTTATTTCACATTTAATTATGTATTCAAACATTGGTTTAAGCATGTTGATGCATCTTTTAACACAAAATCTACCCATGGAAACTGCACGTTCACATACAAAATAATTGCTTCTAAAATAACTGAAATAAAATAAAGTGGAGCGACGCTGGAAATCAGCCTACACTCTACCTGCCAAATTTCAGGTTATGCATCACTCACTGGGCCAGTCTGTAAACTCCTGCAGCCCACCTACAGCTGTCTGGACCAGAGACAAATCAGACAGACACTGGGCAGAGGCGTTTCCAGAACTGCTTTTAAAAGTGTGAGTGACCTAATCATAGTGTGCATCAGCTGTCTGTTTTTAAACACCACCCACAGGCACACACGGAGACAGACACAACGAAAAAGAAACAGAAGGCAGAGTCAAAACAGGTGATGGAACACCGCTAGCTGTGTGCAAGCTGTGTGCAAGTCAAAATAATAAAGTATACTTTAGTTTTTACAGTGCAGATGATGTGGACTTTGTCATCAGCACAGAATGTGTTTACTGTAAGCATAGCATCATATGGAGTATGGGTTTGGATGGCTATGAGCTCTGCAACTTCAAAACATAACATACTTTGGGTCTTAGACAAGATAACATCAATGTCCTGTGAGGTCATTCTTCACAGCAGGGTGCTGGAGCCATCAGCCCAAAGCATTCCCTCTCTTCCTGGGTCTGCTCACACCAGCTCACACCAGGGGACAGGCAGGAGAAGACAGGAAGCGTGAGGTGCACTACAGATTATGGGAGACTGTAAAAGCCTACTTCCTTCCTGAGGCGCTATCTACAAACACATCCAAGCATCATTTAAAAAAAGTCCATAATTTTGTTTATGTACATTCCACATTTACACGATGGCATTATCTGTAGAAAACACCACTATGTGGGCATATAGCAGCAAGTTATGTGATCTAGTTAATGTGAAAGAGGATCTGTCATTCTAAACACATCTCGCAATAGGGTGGGGGTTTATTAGATCTTTTTTTGTTGCTGTCTTTTAACTTTATGGAAATATTAATTAAATGTCAATATTTATTTAAAATGTTGGGCTGGGCGATAAAATCAGTATCAATATTTATTGACTGAACACCATTGTCAATATTGATTAAAAAAATTCAGTATGTAGTTTCAGTATGAAGCGCTATAATTTTATAAAAATGTGTCTGCTGAGCGAGCTCCTTGGAAGCAGTGTAAATAGGCTTAGGGTGAAAGTTAGTCATTTCCAATGGAGCCGCGCGACTTGCACGACGTGCATTAGGGAGCAAGGTGCACGTGAACCGCACACATTTTCCACTGGCAAACATCTAAACTTTTGTGAATGCAGCAAGCATACCACGATTCATGTAAGTAGAACTAAACAATCTGCTTCACAATTTGTATGGAACATGCATATTTCAGTAATAACAACAGAATAATTACCTCAGACAAACACTGCAGTGATTTTTACTTTTCTCTATGAACTTGCATCAGAGTTGCAGCAATGACTTGTCCATTTGTCATCCTCTGAGAAAATGGTTGATGGTCACCTAGTTACGAGAGACACCAGTGGAACGCGAGCACAAAGTCCATTGTAAATGATCAAGGAAATCCACGCACACACGCTTGTCAATTCAGGGCAGAATAACAACACATGCGAAAAAAAAGTGCGGTGGCTAGCATCAGTGAATAGATTGTAAATAAAAAAGGATGTAAGGATGTCACTAGAGTGGCTTTTTGGTTTCTTTTCTTGTGCATCACTGCCACTAGCTCCCCATCTGCAAGACTTTTTAGCACAGGATTACAGGATTTGTAATGTTGTGATATGTATTTGAATAATAATGGTTAGTTCCTTTACTTGAAAGCTCAGATTTGATTATCATAACTTGTGTTGTTGACAGAGTTTGAGGTTTACTGTATAATTATTATTATTTACACCTTAAAGTTTTTATTGTTCAGTATTTACGCTACCAAAGCACAAACTTTGTAACATTTTATTTATCAAGTTTAATAGTCTCTTTAAAATTTGTTTATTTTATTATAAAGAGATCAGATATTTTGCTGAAATATTTTTTTGTTTTTAAACTATTTGCCTTAGTAATTTTGGTAAATTAAAATAAAATAGTTAAATAAAAAAATACAAATAATCCTAAATGAATTGTTAAAAATGATTCAATAGTTACCAATATCAAATAATATATAAAACATGATATTGTGATCTATTTTTTTTGTACTATCCCCCAGCCCTAGTAGCATAGAGATTTTTGTTCTTTTTTTGATAATCCACTACCCTCTATGTTTTGAATTGGTGATAGATGAGCTAAAATAATAATCATAAAAAGGCATCTTCTAAGCGAGTACGTTTTTAACTTTTTGTCTACTTGTGTCTCATTTCAAGCAAGCCATTTGTATAAATTAAAGGTTTGCATAGTTGGTACACATCATTAAACCTCACTGGAGCTGATGGCCTAGTGGACAACACACCGACATATTGGGCAGCTGTGCCTCCAGTGGCCTGAGTTCAATTGCCAGCTTGAGGTCCTTTGTCGATCCCTTTCCCCTCTTCACACCACACTTTCATGTCTGATCTCTAAACAGCCCAAAGCAATAAATTGTACAGGTCTTTAACCCTTCTCATGTGGACCCATTAACATGCAGAGTTTAACTCCTTCCCTACTAAAACATAACTGAGGCTAATCAAGCTTTTGAGGATTACTTTGAAAATTTGGAAATAAATGGAAGGCTTTAGCAATGAAGGCAATAACAAAGTAGGCACGATCAGAACTTCCTTCAAGACATGTTAGCTTGGTTTTATAAATAGCTTCATTTAAGCTTCCAACTTGGCATACAAAGTTCTTCAGCCAATCTTCCCTTGGGAGCCAACACCATCAGCTCATGACCCGAGCCATGAACTACTAACCCCACTGAGGTGATGTCACAGTAAACACTGCAGTCCAACTCAAATGGGTCACTAAACATGACCAGGACTTGCAGCAGACTTCATTCAGTCTAATTTGAATTCCGCTAAAGGGTCATTATCATAGCAATGAGGAGAGGATAGCAAGGATGCATCTGTGTCCTTGAAGCACTGACACATGGGTCAGAGATCAAATGTCAGGGGGTCACAGCTTACCTCGGGGTTCCTCTGCCTGCTTGGCCAGCTTGCGGAGGGCAGCAGCGAATCCCGAGTGGGCGGACTGAGAGGCAGGACTGACATTGGGCACAATAGAACCGTTGAGGGGAGACGGGGTGAGGGGACTGACGGTCGCCGTGGTGCGGGTCGCCGTTGAAATCATGCCTAACGATGGTGACTTTGGCTCATGGCTCATGCCTGAGAGAGACAGAGAAATGGAGTGAGATATTAGGAGCAATACATAGGAAATACAAGGACCCCATACTGACTCATTGAGGACAACCACACACACCCAAACACACATAAAAACAGCTGTCTGTGCCCAACAGCTGCAGGATAGAGGTGAAGTGAAAGAAGTCAAAGGTTATGCCCAAGGTCACAGACAGCATGCTTGTCTGTGAGCATTCACACACACATACACACTCACACACACAATCTTCAACAATCATCAAAATCACCAATCACCATTAAACACAGATATCTATATACATTCCAAACGTGGCAGGTTATACCTCCACTAAGAATCTGGAATGTAATCTGGAGAAATGCAGTTGATAATCTGATAGTCATTTTAAGAGCAATCAAGCTCAATATACTTCTAGATACACCACAACCATGAAAAGACCATTAGATGCTGTTATAAAATTTATAAAATTACCAAATATGTCTAAGAAAAAACAACAAAGACCAAGATGTTCTATGTTTGGTTTGTTTGTGGGAAGTATATACAGTAATGGCCTGTTTCCACTGAGTACAGTACAGTATGGGTCACCTTCATCAGGCTTGCGTTTCCACTGACAAAAGGGTACCAATGGTGGGCGTGGTGTGACAGAAAGTTTCAGTCAATGTCCTTCTCACTCGAGGAAATGTCAAAGTAAAGCTACATGGGTCGTTCACATATCATATGAGAAGCACTTCTCACAAAAAAAAAAGATGGTTTATACACACACTTCTGTATAAATGTTCTTACTAATCTTTCTATGAACAGGATTTGATTATAACTGCAGATAGGCTGCAAAATAGCCTACTGTAGCATCTGCAATTATATAAAATAAATAAATAAATAAATGCAACATTTATGAACACGTACAGACCCTTACAGTCTTCGAAATTTTACTAATTACAGAAAAACTACACACAGCATACGTTTAGTCCTTATTTGGGTTGAAAAACATAACGCAACATAGCCCACAGTCAGTGCAAATCTCTCGATTGTATCTTTTATCTTCACCAGCACATGTAACCATTTGTTAGGTAGTATTATGTCATTTCTAGTTCATAATAGTAAAAACGTGATGATAATAGTTAAACATGGCACTTTGTTCACGTTTTAGGTTGGTGAAAGAATTGTTTGCTCCTTAGTTTTTTCGCACTTCACTCTCACGCTTATCCGTTTCTGAAAGGAATGGATGTCAGAAGCACTTCAATAACCATGCGCACGTTATTATCATGATCTCAAGAAGTTTGTTATGTCAAATACAGATGCGCACGCAAGCTCTATGGAGAAAGTAAAACCGCTACCGCTTTCAGACGGCATCGTAAAACAACAGGACACACAGATTTTGTTCTTCTTGGCTTTGTGGTTGTTCATCAAGATGACGACAAGGTTTGTTTGAGCTTGGGTCGACCATGGCTCATTATTATGATATATATACATTATTACGGTGTAATGTTTCGGCTTTCATTCTCCTGGCTTGTGTATGCACTAGTGACGCTTCTCTGTAAACCAATAGCGTTCAGCTTCACCTTTTGATACCCTTTTGTCGTGCTAGGTACCCTTTAAAACGGGTACCCAAAAAGTGGTACAGTACAGTTCGCTTTTAGGTGTCTTTTGACAGTGAATACAGCAATAAAAGCATACCGACCCGTACCATACCACTCAGTGGAAACGGACCATAATACGGTCCATGGAAACAAGGGCCTGTTTTAGAGCTAATCGCAGATCCAAGTCCATTTCAGTAAAACAAGGGGCGAGAGAGACAGGCAGACAGAGAATCTCTCTTAAGACCTGTTCACCCACGGCACTCCACACGAACCGCTCAGAGCAATTAATAATGAAACAAACAACAGCAGCAGCAGCACTGAAACACTGATCCTCAGACTGACCCTTCACACACAGCACAGATGTAAAGCGCTACCGTGTTCACATTCCAGTCTCCGTTTACTTCCTTGTTCACAAACTGTCGCTCTTTCACAAAGAACGTTTGGAGCTTACACACAAACCCAATCCCCTTTCACCAAGTCAAACGTTCAGTGTAGCAGCTGCTGCCATGTCACATGACCCTCCTCCTCTTCAGCCATAATTCTTCTGCCCTTCTGAGATAACAGAAAAAAAGAGAGAAAACAAGACTGGGAGGGGGTACCCAGTCTTTCTGTGTGTCCAGGAAGATCCTGAGCCAGAGGTGGTGGCAAGTTCTGACGTGCTCTTCCAATTGCAATCTCCTTCATGTTTCGCTCTCTCAAAAGCACATCTGTGCTCCACCCTCTGCATAATACTGCAAGAGAGATGAGAACAAGCACTAATGGCTGATGCAGGGCAAGACTTTTTACCACATCATACCTTTTGACACACACGTAGACCCTTTTAGTCTAGTTCAATTATGAAACCTTTTGTCTTATAGGACCATTCATTCAATCATTTTTCTTCGCCTTAGTCTCATTATTAATCAGGGGTCACCACAGCAGAAGGAATGAACCGCCAACTTCTAGCATGCGTTTTACGCAGCAGATGTCCTTCCAGCCACAGCCAAAACCCAGCACTGGGAATCACCCATACACATTTATACACACACATACACCATGGCCAATTTAGCTTACTTAATCCACAAAAATCAAACATTTAAAAACCTGAAAATCGCCCAAGGCACAATATAAGCATTAAGCTGTATATGTAACTATTCTGAATCGATCATATATAGTTATTAAAATGGCAGTTAAGAAAGCATCTGATAATAATGATGCAAATGTTTCCATGAGCTTCACTACTCCATTTATATTGTGTCACCTTTGATTAACTAGCACTTTATATTGTATGTTGCTTTAAAGCAAGAAGAATAATGGTATCATCAAAGAAGGAGGAGCTCCAGAGCACATCTATTGTATAATTTTTTTCTGACCAATAGTAGCTCTATTTGAGGAAGAGAATTGTTCAGGAACACTTTAGCAAGCCGTTTGGAACTCCTGAAATTCCAAACAACTGCATTTTGGCAGTAATTCTGTAGGAAAGTGTCACACCAGTTTGTTCTTTGACTTTACTTGAAGCATTGTAGGTCCTTTAAGGGCCTCATTTGGACTGAGCAGCTAGCTTTTAATTGTCTCAGAATGAAAGAAATACAAAGCCCATAATAATCTAAAAATAATTCAAGTTACCACGAATACAGTTATATTAGTTACAACTATGTTTTTGGTTCAAGTCACGCGTTCTACTTCTGTTTAAAGAAGCACAATTGTGTGACCAGTGGGAAATCTCCTCCGAAAGCCAGAGGGCACTATCATATGGACACCTACAAAGAATTAACAACATCATGCATTATAAAGAGAAGTTTAACTGCTTTTAATGATTCAGCATGACTAATAATCGTATAACTGCAGAATGGTCTATTGACCATTGTCAATTGACTGAAGTTATGAGTTGGAGTAATAAACATGCTATTATATCTGGTATTTTCACATCCAGCATTTACCACACAGAACAGTATTTATTGCAAACAGCAGGCATTATCTCAAAATAGCCATCTCAATATCATTATGATCCGATTAAACAATTTTTGCGCAGCCATGTAAAAGCACATGCTGGAGTTGTTATACTGACACTGTTAAACATTTATTCTCACCCACAAGACTTTGTGTTCGCTACAAAGAAAAAACATCAAAAGCTTGTCGTAATCATATGCAATATGATCATTTAAACGATGTGCATGGTTTTGATTTTATTTTCACTGCTGAATGTCCTCATGTGATGGCTGCCATCATTCAGAGAAATTAGTGGTTCTGTTTACTAAAGTGGACATCATTCACGTGCATCTTCTCTGTGGTAAAACACAGAGCTCACGGTCAGCTCACGTGTAATTACGGCCGCGAATACAGTAGGTGACTTTTTCAACACCATTTGAAGGTGTCCACTTTGCTGAGCAACGTTTAAAAACAATGTAAAGACTTGTGCGAAAGCCTTCATGCTTCTCTCCTGACCTCGAAAATATAATTAGCTTAATTGTAGAAATGCTGGATTAAGATCGTGTGGGGGCTCAAATTGAGATCGCAATTTTTTTTCGATTAATCAAGCAGCTGTAACTGACACACATGAAAGTTGTCTTTGATTAATCGGTCAGCTCTAAATTCACACTGTAGCATTTGTGTGCATATTTTTTATAACAGCTACAACTGCTTAAAATTAGTGTTCTAAAAAAGTATTGTGTTGAATGAAAAAAAAAAAATTATAAAAAAAAATCCATTTGGCGCAAACATGTAAATGCTGTTAAATGTGTTCTTAAACACTGTTGATTGGCCATTGTGTTTACGTCCTCATGTCCCTGTATCTGTGTTTGCATGCGGTGAAGAGAGGTAAACTGATGACCTTTACAGCCAATCACAGTCACTTCTGTTGAGCATGCAGAAACAATGACCAATAAATGGTGTTTAAGAATGCACAAATGGCGCTCAACCAACAATCAAATGTTAGCGGGAAATTGACTTTTTTATTTCAGTAATTGGTGACAAACTCGATTCTTCTGACAACACCAAGTAGAACAATATATGCTAACATTTTGGCTGATAACATGTTTTCCCACCTTACAGCAAGGAGGTGACTGGTTTGATTCTTGGCTGGGCCAGCTGGCATTTCTGAATGGAGTTTGGATGTTTTCTGCATATTCTCGTGGGTGCTCCGGTTTCCTCCGCAGTCCAAAGACATGCTCTAATGGTAAACTAAAATTTGCTGTAGGGAGTGCAAAGCCCATTGTAAATGGTCAATGAAACCGAAACCATGCGCTTGCACTTGCCACTTTAGGTCAGAAAAACAACATATGCGAAAATGAGATTGTAAATAAAAAAAGGATGTAAGGATGTTGCCAGAGTGGCTTTTTGGTTTCTTTTCATGTGCATCCCAGCCACTAGCTCCCCATCTGAAAGATTTTTTTTTTTTTTTGCATGTTGTCATTCGCTCATTTAACAATTTGAAATGATGTATTTAAATAATGTTG